TATTATGGCAGCCAATTTTCATGTAAACGATTCCGTCTCCGAGGTAACAGCTGGAAATTTTTCGGGTAATCGAGATAAATGGCATTTCTGCGTTCGCATCGTTATACTCTATCTCCGGTGGAACTGAAAAGATGCTCCGATAGGTATAATTAAAAGCGTAGTTTATACTTTCTTCTTCTCTCTTAACTTTCCGACTATCGCGTTAGTTTCTGTTTAGCATTGCTCCACGGAGCCATTTTAATGGACTTTAGCCGGAGTTCGTAATAATGTACCAACCTGCAGTTGAGAAAACTTTGGAATAACAGCGTCAAATGTATCAAATTCGATAGAGATAACAATCGCGCGTCATATTCGTACAAGAAATACGGCGTTTACAAAAGTAAACGCCGCCAAAACTCGAGTCAAGCAAGCCAAAGTTATGATAACGATCGAACAAGAGGAAGTCTATTCATTTTGCATTCTATCTTTAATTACTGCTTAATTACTGCCGGTCGTATTTGCAAATCAGTCATGAGGATGCAAGATAAAACGGCACGAGCAAACGTACAGGAAAAGTAAACGGGCGTACATCTCGCGAAACTTTTAATTCTCGTTAATTCGTTTTGAAAATTTATCGCACCGAAACTTTCCAATTGCGATCTTGGAGGCTCCCGATGGATCTCGCATTGCTTCACCGATGGGATAATCAGTAAATCACGCTACGTATTCGACTATTTTTCCATATCAGAACGCGACATCCATATTTAACAGTATCAGTTTATACGGCCAGCTTAGTATGGAATAGTGGTTTACGATCTAACGCTTCCTCTGAACGCCCGCGCCTGGCGTATGCCTGGAAGGCAATGAAAATTTAAATTAGCGCAGAAATTAAATCCGACTTTTATCCTTTATTGAGGAAACCTTCCGGAATCTGCAGGCGGTTTGACGACCCGTCTGCCCGCATATTTTCACCTCCGACCTAAACCGACCGACGTGAGACGGGATTGTTCTTTTTGGGCTCTTCATAATTAGCAATTAAGAGGGTAATTAGCATCGATCGAAACGGCTCCGAGAAAGCAGACGCGTTCTTATACCATATGGCTATTTTCACCATGTTGGAACGGAACAGGAATATCACATCTGCGCCGTCATCGATTCATTGTTTATGATCTAATCCAAAAAGAAAATCATTTTTCACAGGATTTACGGTAGAAATTTATATAATTGAATAATATATCTAATCTTTATTTCTCTCACGATTGTTCGGAATTTAATTTTACAGGCCATTGAGAGAGCTATTTTTATCGCAAAAATGCTCCTCGGTGGGGTATAAACCGACCCTTTAAAATCGAATTGTCTCACACGTGACCTCAATTGGTTGCCGGAATATCGTTCTCTCGTCGCCTGCAACGTGATAAAACTACGTACACACGTACATACCCGTCAAAATTTTGGTTCCACATTAAACTCCACAAATTCCGTCGAGCTTGTAAAACACTATATCTTGATGCTACAAATAGTTACTTAATACTATTTCTTTTATGTTAAGTTGCCCTTGCAAAGGGACTCATTGATATTCAATTATCTCTCAATATTCTCTTCTTACTTATATTTAATCTTTATTTTTAATCCAATCAGCAATATGTTAATTTTGTAATTTGTTTGGCTGCAGGTAGAATATACGATCAGCAAATATTAAGTAGTTTAATAAAAATTGATAAGCAAATTTAATGAATAAGTAAGGTAAGAAATTGTTTTGTAATCTCTTTATTATTTATTTATTTTTTTATTAGCGTTGGAGGTGTATACATATTAAACACATCTATACATTTAGAAATATACAATATATCACTGCTCACATTTCACGGCAACATCCTACATTCACCAGCTTGGCTTCTCGATGTTGCTCTATTCTTGCATTGTCATGGCACTCCGGATACTAGTTCGTAGTACTGACGCTTCTGTAGATATGGTTTCATCGAAAAAAACACGTGTTAATTAACGCGATGTAGCCGAGAATTCGATTCAATATTTTGACGATATATATTTTGCGTAAAATGTAATGTAACACTCGGTATAACGAGAAAGTACGCGTCGCGCGACAATGAGCAAGAAATGTAAACATATCTTCCCCTACTAATCGTCAACTGTTATTACTCGACACTGAGCGCCGAGTGTTTACAACTCACAAAACAGTCTGGATCTTAATATGTCCGGGGTCGAACGTATCCTCACGCGCCGCGCGCTTTTCTAGACGTTTTCATTACGTCTCGAGTTGGCGAGTGGTGCGCATACACGCGAAGTACGTGTGTCGGTTCGTTATTGATCGTCTTGGTCGATAATTTTAAATATTCCGTCGACTGTTGAACTATTTTAATCGAGCTCTCGTCGGTATCGTGTTCATTAACATTTTATCCGATCGAATCGTGACTGCGCGAGTGCCAGTATCAGTGCAAGTGCCAGTGCCACGTCGGTGCAATCAGGATGTTGAGTCGAGAAGTCAAGACGGAGGACGCCGAGACGCGGGCAACGATACATCATATATTTTCAAGGTGTGTCAAAAATCATTTATTACACAAAAGTTTCTGCTTTTGACGGGCGTTTGACGAACTTGCCGAGAATAAAAAAATGCCCGAGTCGAAATTTAGGTATTCATAGTAGATATTTGACAAATAGCTTCATGAATCTCCGATTATTTGTCAACCTGCACCTGTGCTTATTACATTATTGCATACAGGAAAGATTGATCCAAACAGTCGAGTCCATGAAGACGAATCTATAATTTGTAATTGAATCTGTAATTATGTTCTCAATTAGAGATCTTAAGTAATTCACAACTATGAATACCGGCTTTAGAACATAATATAAATCTTGCAAGTGTTGATTTTCACGTCTAATAATGCTTCTTTGACCGCGAGTTCGATTTTGTTGACATCTGTCAACGACTTTTTAGTTTCTGTTTAGTCTTTGTTTTTGTACCGAGTCTGAATTTAATCACTATTGATAAACAGCATTATTAGACACGTAACTATTATTTTTGCTTTTCCAGCTTCATGTTAGCTCTTTTAAGAGTTTCAAATCTCATCGAAACTTCCAAACTTAAAAAAAGAAAAAGAAAAGAAATTAGGAAGCGATGAGAATAAAAATGTTTTATTTCTTACCCATTTATCCTCATCAATCTTTATTTCATTCTTTAATATTTAATTTTCTCACGTATGGTTTTTCGTTTGAGTTTTATGTTATATAATTAACACATTGCTGATTAGAATAAAGGTTAAATGTAAGTAAAAATATTGAGATTTGAATTAAATATTGAATATTTGCTCTGAACGAACGCTTCTTCAAGCTTTTTCAAGTTTCTTCAACATAGAAGAAACAGCAGTAAGCCATTTGCAACATTAAGATAAGGCAATAATCTGTATAACATTAAGTTAATGCAAAAGATTTGTTATTGATTTGTTATTGATTTATTATTTTTGTACTAAATTCTCTTAGGAAGTTTGAATATCAACAGAAAAATAGGAAGTCTTCATTAGTTTGAATATCAACAGAAAAATAGGAAGTCTTCATTAAAAAGTACCAAATATATATTTATTTCATTTGTAAAAATTATTAATTTTGCAAAATTGGATAATTTTATTTTTCAAATTTTATTTGACACGCAACAGACCTTTCTCATCAACTTGATGTTATATCTCGAATTTCTTCATTGATCTTTCAAGTTCAATGGAACTTGCAGGCTTAATGTAGAATCTAAATTTCGACTCGGGACATCCAGGCCGGTTAGCTAAAACGAACGGGCACGAAGCGACACGGAGGGTGCTCCCGGAGAAACTCCCAATGCAAAATAAAAGAACTTTGCATGACCGCTTGTCGCGCGAAAATCGAAGAAACCGTACCACGCGCGGCATATCTATATCGCGCGATGCATCGACCTCCCAACTCCGAACTAGCTGCGAACTGCAACTGCACTCTTGGACACATTACAGCGGAGTTTCGCGATATGCAGCGGTTATATCGCGCACCTGAATAATTGCGTTCTGGCCGCGGCTTACTCGACTGAATTTTGATGTCGGGCCAGCGGAGGAATAATTGATCGTTAAAGCAGAGCGCGGTGGCGAATGGATGATACCGACTTAGAAATTTAGTTGCTCGCGTTATTGTCCGCTTTTTATTTATTCATTCCTGCTCTCTTTTAGCGGTAAATATCATACCCGCATGTAACCACCTTTGGGTGGCATATAGTCGATAACACGACTTCATTTCTGGACAAAGATATAACACACAGAGAGTAATTTTATCTAAAAGTGCATATAATTAATGATAATTACTAATTGATATAAACCATGTTATAATGCGGTTATGTACTCGGTATCAGAAAATTGATAAAATATTTCGCATTAAAGAGGATAAATTTAATTATCGTGATATTATCCGTTGGCCAACGCATGCTTTTGCCGTCGCTTCATTATGTCTATTATTTTGTATTTTACTGAATTGCCGTATTCAATTCCGTAAAAGAACGGAGGTGCACAGAGAGCGAGTGCATTTTTGGGGGAGGTAATAAATAATCGTATTAAAGTGTCGTTGGATTCCGAATGCGCATGGTGTTGGGCAAGATAACGTCGTTAATACACGATATAATTTAAAATGTATCATTTGAAAGCATGTCACATGAGTACACGTTATCGCTCTACTTACAGAGTCACAGAAATCAAAGATATATTTGTCGCTCGTCGAGTTTTCAGTCTAGCGGTCCGTAAAGCGACACCGTCTAACTATATCGCTTAAATATAACCTCGCGACCACTCTGCGATTCATATTTAAACGAAAATACCAATCCCACCATCATTCTACGGTACGGACGCGATATGCGGACGCGATATGTTATCGACCGGGTACGTCTCCGGATGCAGTTATCGAAGTTATGACTATTTTATACGGCGTTAAGCCCCGCGAAAATCATCGTCTCTTTGAGTGATCTTTGGTAACAATATAATCGGGAATTAATCGGGACTCACCACTCTCGCCGTTGTAATTTATGTTCTTGCCGTCCTCGCGCCGCCACATGACGTAAGGCTCCGGAAACCCGGTCGCTTTGCACGTCAACGTCACGTTGGAAGCCTCGCGAACCACCATGTCGGTACTGGTCTCTTTGGTAATAATCGACGGTGGTACTGTAACGTAAATGTTGACAAATTTTCATTTTCATAGCTATATTGGCGTATTTATTAAACGCTCGCGATTAATATTCACGATCTGTACTAGAGACACAGACAAATAATGAAACAAACGATTAAAAGGTCTGCAAGAGCCGAGCGCTAGGAGAGAGTGCGCAAAAAGTCAAGATAAAGATACTCTTATTTCCTTATATTATCATGTATAATATTACATTTATGGAGTATATTATGCAATGTAGGATGACAAGAAAAAATAAACATCTTTCTCTTCTTCCTCTTAGCGCTCGGCTTTTCCGAGCTTTTTAATCATTTGTTTTGGCTGTTTAATCATGGAGTCTTAATAATATCTAATCTTGTTCGTAGACAAATTTGAGGTAGAAATAATAAATATAAATTTACGGAATCTCTACTCGATATGGAGAAACACACTCGCTTACCTACAACTTGTATGTAGCCCTGGCGACTCCTCATTGGGTCCGTGTTCACTTGACACATATACCATCCACGATCCACCTCCTGAGCATCCTTTATATGAAGGTACCACGAGCGGTGGTCATTGTACGATAGTGAAATCCGTGGGTTTTGAGTGATTACGCTATGATGAATCGACAATATAGTTTGTGTATCGACGCGCACCCACGCAACCTGAAACACAAGTATCGGAAGATATATATATATTTTTTTATCTTAATTCCATATCGAATTCTCGCTTTTAATTATTGAAACATCGTTCGATACGTATCGTTTGTTACCTTCTTTTAATTTCAAGTGCGCGACAAGATTAATCACGAAGCACGTTTTTCTTATTTACTCCATTAAGACTGGATTATTTTAAATCGAGAAATATATTCATTTTAGTGTTTCTTATTTAGCGTTTCTTATTGTTTGGTTTTAATATCATGTTTCATATACATGACATTTAAGATTAGATTGAAATATAAGATACTTTTACGGGCAGGTTATATACAAGCATGTAACTTCTCTCGTTCGCTCGCGACAAACTTGCGTTATCTCGGTGACTCTATACATCGCTGAATGTTCCTTTCCTCCTCTCACTTAATTCAATAATCGAGTAAGGCTGCGCTCCCCATCCTTCACATGGATTCTGGGGAAACTGATGGAGGCTTAGAGCCACTCACTCTTCTTCCTACCGCTGTCTGTTTCACGCACACTTTCATCGTCGAGTTTTCGATATGGGCAAGAGGTTTCTTGAGCATGCAAAACATGCCCAAAGTCTTGCGAATTCTACAGCGGTATAATTTCCACTGCGAACGCGCGGCTCGAGTATGTTTCGTGTTTCTCGTGGAGTACGACTGGAGAGTATTTCCCGTGGAAAAGATCAGCTCACTTGCGAATATTTTACCACTTACCTATATACATACTCTCTATGTATTTATATACGCGCTACTGCACTATACGCGTGGCTAAGAAGCAGGCACACACGCGCGCACACACAAACACACATTCGGCACGGTCATAAAACGCCAAGTTTTACGCACAATGTTCGTTACAAGATTGTTCCAATAATTGACACTGACACGGCATTTCTGTTATACATATCGACTTATCGCGCAATGAAAATTATTCTTGCCATAGAAAGTACGTACACCGTATACTACTTCTTTCTACGTAGAACTTTACAAATATATTTCTTAGCTTTGATATAAGAGAAAATCGAGTGTTCTTTGTATAAAAGAAAGAAAATAAGAAGGAAGAAGAAAATTTTCGATGAGGAAGTTGGATATGATCGAGACGTCATCGGAAACGCAATTTCTGTATGCGCGATATACGAGGGTGGTCTGAAAAGTTTCCGACCTAACAAAGATACAAGTCATTTTTTCTGAAAATTGTTTTTTATTTTTCAACATAGTCTCCTTGTAAATCTACACACTTCTCCCAGCGATGCTCCCATCTCTGTAACCCGTCGAAATAGTACTCGGCGTTTTTCTCTGCAAAATAATTGTTCACGAAGGTGATTGCCTCTTCATTTGACGAAAATCTCTGTCCTCCGAGCGCAATTTTTAGATGAGGGAACAAAAAGAAGTCGCTTGGGGCTAGATCTGGTGAGTAAGGTGGATGGTCAAGCAGTTCAAACCGTAATTCGTGGATTTTCGCCATGGCAACCGCTGAGGTGTGAGACGGTGCGTTGTCTTGGTGAAACAGGATTTTCTTTTTCTGCAAATGTGGCCGTTTTCCCGCAAGTTCTGCCTTCAGCTTGTCAAGTAATGATGCGTAGTATGCTCCTGTAATGGTTTTTCCTTTTTGAAGATAATCGATTAAAATAACTCCATGACTATCCCAAAAAACAGTCGCCATCACTTTCCCAGCCGAAAAAACAGTTTTTGCTTTTTTTGGAGCCGGTTCCCCCTTTGCAGTCCACTGTTTGGACTGTATTTTTGTTTCAGGCGTATAATGGTGTATCCAAGTTTCATCTACAGTAATTAATCGGCGCCAAAACTCGGATTTATTGCGCCTAAACTGCTCCAACAGAGCGTTGGAAATGTTCATTCGAACACGTTTTTGGTCTAACGTGAGCAAACGCGGCACCCAACGCGCGGACAGCTTTCTCATGCCTAAATGTTGATTTAATATGCGACAAACACGTTCTTTTGACATGTTCATAACCTCTGCTATCTCTCTCACTTTAATTCGGCGGTCGTCTAGCACCATTTGGTGAACTTTGGCGATGTTTTCGTCGGTAGTTGCAGTTTTTGGACGTCCTGAACGTTCATCGTCTCCCAAGCTCTTACGGCCACGTTTAAATTCAGCGGCCCAAAATTTCACTGTCGTAAATGATGGTGCAGAGTCCCCATACACAGAATCCAACTCATCTTTGATTTGCGTAGGCGTATTGCCTTTCAAAAACAAATATTTAATGACAGCTCGATACTCGATTTTGTCCATTTTCACAAAAACACTCACATCAACTTACTCAAACGACTGTTACATAACAACTGCGAGTCCAAAATGGCTGAAACTTCGGTGAGTAACTGTCAACAGATGAACAACGAAATTCACTAGCTTTTATTTACAAGTGCTGCTATCTTCACGTTGAGGTCGGAAACTTTTCAGACCACCCTCGTACTTTTTCCCACGTATGCTCGGTGAACGTCGAGAGCGCGAATGCTCGTCGAACGACGAGAATATAAATCTTTCATCTCGCGTTAAATTTTCACACGACGCGGTAGATTTCTTGCAGATTACGTTTCACGAAGCGAAGGAGACATTCCAGAGACGCGCATAAAGGAAACGCACGCGCGTGTATGTATATATCTCCCTCCCTCCACCTCTCTCTCTCTCTCTCTCTCTTTCTCTCTCTCTCTCTCTCTTTCTCTCTCTCTCTGAGTGACTTGTTTAAAAAGATGTACGGAAAAACTCAAGAAATTAGACTGATAAAATTAGTTATAGCTCGTTACGCCGAGTTAGTTTATAAATCCCACTTGATTCTGATTATACCGTCTTGAGAAAGAAGAGGTACGTGTTATTAATTTATGCACGGAGCAGCATTGTTTCCAGTGAACGTTGTCGCTACTCGGGAGAATAAATTGTGTCGTCCCATTGTTACGTCATCTCAATTAACTGAAGGAAAATGAAGCAATTATGCGAGGCCTTTGATAACGGTACGTAAACTAGGACCGTCCAATTCGCAGTCTACGGACCATAAATGCCATGGGGATTTTAGCGGATACTATCTTAGTTTCTGCAAGTGTCTCTAACGAAACGAAACAGAAAAGAGATTTAGGGCCTCATTTAATGGACGACATGTATAAAGATGTTTTTCAGTTAGCAACAGCGCTCATTTGCTTCAATACGTCAATCGTGATGCGCCTTTAACAATAACCGAGACGCGCCAATTGCTTGTTTCGCACATCGAATATACTGTTTAGCGAATATTACTCCTGTCCTACATATATATTATCCCTGCCGACGTTTAGATCGTGCAACGTGAGTCCAAGCACAGAATAGTAATGCAGGAAATGAAACAGAGTTAAAAATGCATATGGAAATGCTGACATTTTCAAGCATAGTCTCGATGTGGACTATGTGACCTCAACTTTTCTATACGACCCCGATCGATGACCTGGATTCATATCCGAAAAGAACTCGAATAATCATACGGTAACGGTATTCCATTCGAAATTTGACACGCGTGAAACGATAGCGATCGTGCAAAAAAGACAAGACTAGTTTTATTTTAAGTAACCCCGTATCAAAGATACTTTGCGGTTTTAATATATTTTCGAACCATTTCCGTTGAGACGCATTCGTCGCGAAGAGATAAATCCAGATGATTACGAGGTAACGCGACTTTTTACGATCAGAGATGTGTAGAATAAAAATGAGATGAGGTAAATTTATTTAAGGAACACTTTACCTTATAATTCCGTAAATTGTCCACCACGCAAGCCAATAGAGCATCACGTCCTACGCTCACTGTCACATTCTGGATCTCCTCGGCGAATCGGGGCAATTCAGAATCTGTAAAGATAATATAGATATTAAGATAATATAGATATAAAGATAATTTGATATAATAAGGGAATAAAATTGGCGGTTGAAATGTAGTATTAATGAAGACAAATCTTACATTTGACGTAATGGTGATGTAATTGTGATTATTATGTCAAATGACAATTTGGCGTATTATGAAATGATATAAATATAATATTTACGTCTTCATAACATTCATCATTTCTATTAAATTTAGCGTAATATACATAAAAATGAAAGTATTCTTGTCGAAGACACTATTTGCAATGTGATATTTTTTAAGAAAAATATGAATATTTCCTCCTAGAGAAAGTATAATTTGAAGCTCCTCTTAGTTGACCTGTAATGACTATTTCGAACGATTAGTGAATCGTTTTGTTTGGCAAATCATTTGCCATGTTATGTACGAAATGACGTAAATAAGGTAATATAAAGGCACAAAATATTAACTAATTAGAGTCGGTGCGACCATGTTGATACAACCGGCGCCTATTTGTCATAATTTATTAAATTACTGTTGCCCACGGCCATTACGACCGTTAGTTTTTCTCTGAAGCAGAGAACACTGCGTAAATTAATTAGAAAATAAAGTCCCATTACACATTCGCGCTTTTTATGCTTCAGCATGAAAACGATTAATATTCATTGCTGAATATAGTTGGGTAACTAAGAATGAGGTGAAGAACTGTAAAAAATATACAATTTGAGTAACGTTGAGATGAATAAATAACGATTTTTCTATTTGGAATTGTTCCGTTTCAAACCATTTTTGAGTTATTCTTATAAAATTGAAATCATCTTTCTCAATCTATGTTATTTAATAAGGTTGGGGATATTTAATTGTTACTTATCATATATTTGTTTCTATCAATTTCTGCATTTTTCAAATTATACAAAATTACTCTATCAAAATCCTATTGAAAATACCAATATGGACAATTACGTCACTGATACATTATTTTTTCTATAGAAAACGCCACTTTTTCTCAAAGAGGAAATAGTAATAAAAAGCAAGGGATGAATAAGTATATTGCGTCGTCGACGATTACTCGGATGATATTGCTCGTGTTAATAAATATTCCTTTGTGCAACATGCTATACGTTTGGTGCGAGATAAACTTGTCGCTAGCTAAGCACTCGATTAATGACTTGAGTTATTATTCACTAACATACGCTTGACGCTGGCAAGTTTGCACATATGCCTAGACAATACATCGTCTGACCTGATTGCGGACTTATTATCGTTAGAACAGTCTAACGAGTTCAGGATTCAGTCCAGTCTCCCTTAAAAGCTTTTACCTTCGTTAATGTCTTTACGACGTCCCGAGCATCTGAATTATTTATGGGCACAAAGAACTCGCAGAGAGAAAGAGAGACTGTGCGAGCGGAAAACAGAAAGATAGAAGGAAGAAAGTGGAGAAGAGTGGAAGAGAAGGAGGGGAAAGAGAGCAGAAGGGCGAAATATCGTGGAAGGGAGGAGAGAGCGAAAGACAGAACAGGGAGACAAGCTTCGAGATAAGTTCGAGTTACTTTCAAGTCTTTTAAGAGCGACAGCTCGGATACAGGACAGCGTTAATTACGCCCCCAAGTGCTTTATTATAAAACACTTCGCAGTGTTAATTGTCGCGCCTACGATAGCGGCGAGGAATGAGACGAAAAAGGACGAAAAAAACGAAGAAAAGGAGTAAAAATGAATAACGCGTTCTCTACGGATAATTCGAAATTCATCGTGCCGGTAAGATGTCAGAATAAATGGTTTTGTAGGTTGCACTTAGCTAAAGTTGGAACAAGAGTTTTTGTGCATATTGCGCAATAAGGGAATGAAACTGCAAAATTTTAACACGGTCTGAAATCTTTCCGCCTCGCGATCGTTATTGAGATATGGGTCATTTCAACTCTGATTCGGCGAACGGTTTTACCCGCCGACGTCGGCGCATCGACCTCGGATTTCGCGGCAAATCTGCTTAACGTCACTCGGGGAGCGCTGTATCCTAGATAAATCAGATAAAGTAGATTGAATTTTACGTATACCCAAGTGAGACACGTCATCGTGTTATAGAACCGATGACCATTAAAGCGTTTAACCTGTTAATGATAATGAGACCGAGAATCGAGCGAAACCGCCGGAATTCGCGAGCACGTCTCACGAAAGTCGTTATCAAACTGATTAACAAGCTTTGATTAAGGCGAACTACCGTGTGTATATGTGTGTGCGCGCGCGTATGTGTCGAGCACGGAGCGCTTCATAGCATGACTCAGCTCCGCTCGAAAGATACAATACATTACATACTAGATATACCGCGAATTTCGTGCATAACAGTCTGCAGTTAATGAATATGAATTTCTGCCGTCGCGCATACCTGCGAACAGTTTTGGAACAGGCATTTAACACGAACGCTCGTACATCGGGTATTACGCGAACGCGAATAACAATAACCGCGAAGCGTGCGAAAGCTATATCCATACCTTCCTGATTGAATTTAAAATCGTTCACACTTCGATCATCGCGCAAAATAAAAAAAGGCGCCAAATGAGACGAACCAGTCAGCGCGCGAGAATTTATCTCAGGAAGAACTGCGAGATTAAATAGAAAATTTTCTTGTTTTCTCGATCTCTGCGCTGTATATTTTCTCGCGCTCTCACGTGGATCGCGCCCGCGCGCAGAAAGACGGATTAGATTCGAAATCCCATCAGTGATGGGACGCGACAAAGAACGTCGCTTTTAATTTACGATACCCACGTCCGTCCCGCCCGACATTATCGTACGTACCGCCGCACCGGGGAAATCGCGTCTTCGTATCTCAAGCGTTTCCGACTCAAAGGCGGCCTTATTTTCTCGTTAAAGAACGATTTAACGAGAAACGAAATTAAGGGTCGCGCTTCTTGCCTCGCGGAGGCAGCCGTTCGTGCCTGCGTCTGTCTATCCACTTTTCCATGGCGCACCTCGGTGTTTTCTTAGCACACTTCATCACCTTTAACCCGCACCGGAAACCGCAATAGCGTTTGGCGGCTAGTCTTTGGTTCCAAAGGTGATTCAATGGTTTCTCATTAAGTTTCTGTCTCACTTTGTCTGCCCCTTCGCTTTTTCTTGTACTATCGCTGCTGTTTACGCGATGATCGTTACTCTTCGCGCCGGGAGGAAAGGAAGCGCGCGATGTGTGTGGCAAGTACGCAGCTCTTTTCGCACGATCTAGTTTCTCCCGAAATATATGAATTACGCAGCTAACGTATCGCGCGACTCTTCTTTTTCGCCGGACATAATTGTCGTATTTCCGCGTAATTATCGTGCACTCGCGTGACGGCTTGCAACGGCTAGCGCAATTTTATCGCAATATTGCGCGGCTAAAAAATTTAAAATAGAATTTCTTAACCTACGCATTCCCTCTGTTCTCTCATTCGTCCTAATTTTCGCCAGCCGTGCGGAATTATTTAATTTGCATTAAAATGTCAATTTTTAATTTGCATAGACGAATCACACGCGAAAGGGTTCGCGAGCGGTGACTTTTTATTCTACAAATAGAGTTATTTCGATTAACGGCTAACTCTTGGAGTATTAATGACAAAGGCTTGTTTCGCTGCGCACGAACGTATTTTCGGAAACATTCGTCTGAATTTAATAATAAACGTCGACGTTAACAATGCATAATGACGAGTTAAACATAGTAGTTATAATGCTGCGCTGTTCCGATTTGTATTCGCTTCTACGTCGTACATTTTTATTCCGCTATGTACACATATACACACGCACGCACACGCACGCGATACGCATAGTCCTGGGAATATAGAGTGTAAAACGAATATTCCGTTATGTGTATTATACAGCGGTTCTATCATGGGATACGATTGCGCGGATAGCTACGGTAACTTTTATTGTGCAAACTATCATAAATTCCCGCGAAATTTCATTTCCAAACTACGCCCCACTTCTCGACTGCCGACTGTAGTATCTGCATTTTGCAGTGAGCTCCTACTATAGCGCGCGCGCGCGCGCGAGGGCGAATCGCGAGCGAATCGGGCTCACGGGCAAAACTATTTCGTCGAGGCGAGCGGGAAGAAGTTAACAGTTGGACCTGGCTATTTCCGCCAGGTATTTCGATCAAGCAAGATCTTACGCGAGATAACATTGCCGATTGTTCTATGCACTATTTCAGACGCTTGTCGGAGCGAAGTTTTGCCTCTCCCCTCCCCCCCTCCTCTTCCGTATCGCGAAAACGCGCGACGGTTCAAGAGACGGTTAAGGTTGCTGCGTGACGTCCGTACGGAGCCGCCAAGAGTGGAGGACTCTTCAATTGGGAATAGTAAACTTTTACTGCAAACTATTGCTATGAAATTCGCGCTAAGTTTTCCATAACGGAGACGTCGCAGCGACAAAACGGGGCCGTAACTATCTCCGATCCGATTGTGATCTGATCGCGATAAAACTATACAAGCTGTAGCCAAAGAAACGCGCGTAGTGGTAAGAGACAGCCCGACTATTCCGAGCCTGAACGTAATTACGTGCGAATAATTATTGACGTCGACGATATAAATATAAATACAAATATCATCGCGAGTCTCATGGGAGGGATTCAAACGGACTCTGCATCCGGTGTTGCCGCAGCGGAGGAATTGTCGCGTTACAGAAGTACAAACGCATTTAGGTATGCCGATACCGCGAGGCGATTTGTCCCACGCGTTCTACCAGCGGGCCCTTCAAACAAGAAAATCTTGGCAAAGCCGAACACGGTTCGAACATGAAGCTCGTGGGGATTTAACCGAAATGAAGTTAGAGTTTATTGGTTTACCGGCGTAAACGGAAAAGGACTTGCGCGAAACGTGCTCAATAATCCGTGCCGCTAGATTATCCAAGAGCTGGCGGCGTTTCTTTCGACGTGCTTTTACCATCGCAGCTCCGTGCGGAAATCACGATGGAATTTTAACAAGTTACATCTCGCTCGCTTGGGGAACGCACAAAGACTTATGAAAGTCATGAGTTTCCTCCCTCAGCC